GGGAGGGTGAGGCTTATTTACTAACTAGATAGTAGATAAGAATTATCTCAGGTGAAGGGAAGGACAGCACACACTACAGGGGAAGTCAGCACAACTGGACTAAACCAAAGCTAAGAAGTTTCCTCAATACAGTCAAATACTCTGAGAGACAGAGTAGCATGGATAGGGGTCTGGGGACCATGCTTTCAGGGGACCTCTAGGTCAATTGGCATAACAAAGCTTATTAAGAAAATGTTCTGCATCCTACTTTGGTGAGCGGAGTTTTAAAAGCTTGCAAGCAGCCATCTAAGATGCATCAACTGGTCCCAACCACCTGGAGTAAAGGAGAATAAAGAACACCAAAGACACAAGGAAAATATTAGCTCAGGAAACAGAAAGGGCCACATAAACCAGAGACTTCATCAGCCTAAGACCAGAAGATCTAAATGGTGCCTGGCTACCACCAATGACCTCCCTGACAGGGAACACAACAGAGAGTCCCGGATGGAGCAGGAGAAAGGTAGGGTGCAGAATTCAAATTCTAGTAAGAAGACCAGACTTAATGGTCTGACTGAGATTGGAGGATCCCCGGAAATCATGACCCCTGGATTCTCTATCAGCCCAGAACGAAAACAATTTCTGAGGCCAACTCTTCAGACAGGGATTGGACTGGACTGTGGGACATAAAGTGATACTCGTGAGGAGTGTGCCTCTTAGCTCAAATAGATACAAGAGACTAAACGGGCAGCTTCTGTCCGGAGGTGAGATGGGAAGGCAGAGAGGGTTAGGAGGTGGTGGAATGGACAATGGGGAATCAGGGGTGGAAAGGAGGACTGTGCTGTCACAGTATGGGGAGAGCAATTAGGGTCACATAACGATGTGTGTATAAATTTTTGTATGGGAGACTAACTTGAAACGTAAACTTCATTTAAACTACAACAATAAATAAATAAATAAAAATTTCAAGGTACACTCTATTCTCAAGGAGAGCAGCCTCTCTCAAGAGGCATGTGGCAGGGGTCAGCCCATCAAAAGTTGGGTCAGGGAGTAGGAAGAAATGGAGCTTGTGACCATATAGCTCTGGAATTGTTCACAGGAAGGATTGGTAGAACAAACTGAAGTTGGGGCTTGTTGCCTGGGAAGTTAGAGGCAGCTCTGTGTCTCCTTGTTAAGCAGGGGCATCGTGTAATTACCCCCAAAATCCACTTGAACTGATTTGGAACCCAGAATACACATCTTTTATATATATATATTTTACAGTTCTAATTCCCGTTCATTTGTCTTGCAGGTATTACCACCATTGAGTTAGCTGAAGCTTAATGGGTCCATGATCCCTTAAGAACTTTCCTGGAACATATAATCCCCTATTATAGAGAGACTTGATTTTCAATTATACTTTCCCAGTTCCAAGCCCCAACAACTGCCTCTTCTCTTTCCTTTATAACTGTAATGAGCAGACACTTCCCACCCCTTCTGAGATCCCCCATAATTTACTCCCCCTGCTGCCCCACCACCACCCAGCTTGTCTCTTCCTCTCATATAGCAGTGCAGAGAAAGTACAAAGAGTTGGGATTGTGTCAGGGCTTCCTTGCATAGGGTACAGTTTGGTTTTGTTTTTTTTTAACAGACTTGCTGTGTTTTATGTGATTGTGTATTTGGTTATAGCAGCCAAAAGCCCCTAGGCATGATTACCTATAAATTACAATAAAAAATAATAGTAATGCCTCTCATTACTATGATTATTATGATTAGTGATGTGCTGGGTGGCCCTGGCCCAGGCCTGCCAGGAATAAGGCCTGGAAGAAGCAAAGTAATGCCATGTAGAGACAGATTCAGCCTGTTGGTGGCAGCAGGAGTGGTGATTGGGGATGGTAGAGCGCATGGAGGATGCTAGTCAGGAAGACTTAAGTCTGTTGGAGTCTTCAGGCCCAGCTTCCTTGGAGTTCTGGCTTCAAATTCCAGAGAAGTTTGGGGCTGAGAGAGTGAAGCCCTATTGAAAACAGAAGAGGTAGAGTTTCTGAACTCTTTTCTGAATAGAAGTTAAGGACATTGACTTAGGGGCGAGGCAGTGCTAAGTGTGTCTCAGTCCTGACCCTTACCAGCTGTGGATCACATAGCAAGTAAGTATGAACCTAGCTCTGGTCACCAAAGCCAATGTTCTTAGCCAAGGCGACATGCTGCCTTGGGCACGTTACCTACTCTTTGAGCATCGTTGTCCTCATCTGTAAAATGAGTGAAACAATATGTGTGCAAAGCACTTAGCATAGTGCCTGGCATGTAGTATGCACCCAGGAACTGTGTGCTGCTCCTTATTATTAGGACAGGACTCCTTTGCCCTCATGACTCTTCTCTAGCTACTCTTTGCCTCTCTCATCTGTTCCCATCATCTGACTTTTTTCCTTCATGGAGAACCCAGCCAGTAAGCACTCTTTGAGCCCTTCTGGACTCAGAGCCCTCCTCAGGCACTGCGAAGAGCCACAGGAAAAGGAGGAACTTTCCCCCTGTTCTCAGAGCATCCCCAGGCCAATGCCAGTGTCAGAAGGTCAGGATGCACGCAAATGAAAAAGGCTCAAAATCCAAGGAAGAAAAACATACAAATCTGTGCACCATGCTACGGCTCCAAGTAACACAAATGATTCGTTAAGTAACTGCATATTCAACCACTCCGTAGATATTGGTTATACTCAGCCTCGTACTGCTCCCAAGGTAAACAAAGGCAATAAAAGCCTAGCTGTGGCCTTGTAAGGGATGAAACTCCTTTTACTATACCGCAGACCCCAAATGGCAGCCAACAGTCAAGCACCATTTGCAGTGAAGTGCTCCAGTGGCTGTCCAGGCTCTTGTCAGGGGTAGTGTAGGGGTGGAGGTGTGGCTTCAGGGCCTTTCAGGTTCCATCCCTTCCCAGGAAGGACAGGAAGGACATGACAGGAAGGACAGTAGGAGTGCAGAGGAGAGGGTGCCCCTGAGGCCCGATTTTATGAAGAGCTGGGACTTGAGCTGAGTCAGGAAAGGATGAGGGTAGCAGTTGGTGGATGGGATAGAAGAGGAGGACAATCGCACAAGTTGGGGATAGAGAGGACAGTGAGGAGATGACCTCAGCAGCAAAGCAAGTGTGAGGTGTGTGTTGACAAAAGATGGGAGTAGATGGGTCAGGTCAGATATACAAGGTCCGTGTCATGGATTTAATTGTGTCCCCCCCCCAAAATGTGTGTCAGCTTGGCTAGTCTGTGATTCCCAGTATTGTGTGATTGTCCACCATTTTGTCATCTGATGTGATTTCCTATGTGTTGTAAATCCTACCTTTATGATGTTAATAAGGTGGGATTAGTGGCAGTTATGTTAATGAGTTAGGACTCAATCAACAAGATTAGGTTGTATTTTAAGTCAATCTCTTTTGAGATGTAAAAGACGGGAGTAGAGAGACCTGGGGACCTCAAACCAGCAAGAAAGTAGACCCAGGAGCATGTGTCCTTTGGACCTGGGGTCCCTGTGCCGAGAAGCTCCTAGACCAGGAGAAAAATGAGGACAAGGACTTTTCCCTAGAGCTGACAGGGAGAGAAAGCCTTCCACAGGAGCTGGCACCCTAAATTCAGACATCTAACTTCCTAGACTGTGAGAGAATAAGTTTCTCTTTATTAAAGACAACCACTTTTGGCATTTCTGTTAATAGCAACACTAGATAACTAAGACAGTCCTGATATCCAGAGTGAAGAACTTAGACCTTAAGGAGTCAATGAAAGTTTATGCAGATGAGTGTTGTCATCCTCCCTTTCCTCATGATTCTTCATTGCCCAAGTTCCCTTGTTCTTCAACAATCAGCTCAGATCCCTTCTCTGGCAGCTAGCACTTTCTCTTCTGCATGCCCACAGCTTTTTATCTGTGTCATTCTGAAGGTCCTGATCACCTTGTTCCTTGTATTGTAGTTATTTATGATCTGTCTGTATAGACTGTAAACCACTTGAGAGCAAAATCCACATCAGATTCACCTGATCTCCTCCACCATGCCTAAAACAGTTTTTTGCACATTGTAGATACCTTAGTTGGGGTTAATTTTTTTCAACATTACAAATTCACTCCAGCTTGCTCAAATGGGAAAGCTCAAATTATAAGAAAGCAAGAGACAGGCTCCTGAATGTAGGAAATGAAATATAGGCATGCCTCTTGGGAACTGGAGCTGGAGGGGCTACCAGAAACCAAAGTGCTCTCATCTCTCCTTCTTTCCAGTGCTGCATGATTTCTCCTACCTCTTCTTCTCTTTGCATCTCTTCGTTTCAGTTTCAAAAGAGACAATCTGGCTGGTTCATCAGCAGGTTCTGGGTCTGGTGTCCAACCTAATATAATAAGCCATGGCTGTAGGGTGGGAGGTGTCAGGTCCTCTAGAGCATGTTGGGTTTGTCATTCAAGGGTCTGTGTCTGGGGAAGGCAAACTGACTGATGTGTAGGTATGATAGGGATTCATCAAATATTTGCTAAACAAATGGAAGAATGAATGAATGCTACTTAAGGGAAATTATTCTACAAACTGCATGCAGAATGGGTTAGAAGGCTGGGACTCTGGAGTCAGGTAGAACTGTTAGGAGACTTTCGTGTATCTCAGAATGAGATGGTTAAGGCCCAGAAAATGGAAGTGGTGCTGAGGACAGAAACAATGCATGTATAGGCAAGATGAGGTTTGTCAAAAAACATTCCAAGTTTTCTATTCTTATTTTCTTTATCCTTCTATCCTTCCTTCATTTCCTGGGCTCAGAGATCACCCTCTTCTCATAACATAGAAATGGGGAAAGGTGTGCATGTGTATGTATAACTTTGTATATTTATTAGCTTTCAAGGATGTGGAATATTTCAAGCAGTTCCAGCTAGATGCAGGAGGAAGGGGTTGAATGCTTTAAAGGGAGCCCTTAAATTTGAAGTCTATACATTTATCCCTCACCTCCACTGGTGAACCCAGAGCATACTCAGAAACCTCTCTTCAAAAAAAAAATAACAGAAATTTTTCTTTTCTTCTTTTTTTTTTTTTTAAGCTACCATGTTTCTGGAGAATTGGAAGAGACTACAGATGCGACTGGGCTACTTCTGGGACCTGACCGGTATAGAAGAGGAAGAAGTGAGTTCTCTTGCATCCTTCCCTGGGTCCTTGCTTTGCTTTGACCCCAGAAATAGACTGTCTTGAGTGAGATAGCCGCTTTTGTTTGCTGTCACGTCAGCCCAGTCACTGAGCTGAGTCTCACTGTGGCTGCTTTTTTAAAAGTTTGGCTTCATGAAATAAGCCATGGTTGACTTGCACTTAGGCAAGTTCAAATCCCCTCTCTTCCTTTGAGTGTAAGACATTTGACCTGAAGGGTAGCCAGATGTCCCAGTGTCCTACCCTGGGAAAAGAGATCGCACAAGAGGCAAGCTTTGCAGTAGCCTTGAGGTTTAGGTCAATATGCTTCTACTTTCCGTATCATTCGCGCATAGGAATCACTCCAATATGACCCAGGGCATATATGTGTCAAAATGCCTCTGTGACCCTACCTAGGTATAAGGGAGAAGCATGGATGCTAGATACTGGTTGCCTTTGATGCCGGTAGAAAAGCAAAGAACCATCAAACCACTATAGTGTAAGCCAGTGTGTGGTGTGAAAATGGAATGTGAGCCAAGTGGAAGGAGTAAGTTCTTCTAGAGTGTAGTTTTCTGGACAGATGACGTTTCAAGAGTGAAAACAAACCAGCCTTCCCTCAGGGTTCTTTTGAGAACGGGGTCCCCAGTCTTGATGTCGATGAGTTGACTGTGAGAAGTGTGTGCATGGTTGCTCACAGTTATCTATTCCTACTCTAACCCCTCCTTTTCCAGACAGCAGCTGCATTCCCACTCAACCCTTTATCCCCTCTTATTGCACTTCCAACCTTAGCTAGCCCACTCTGTTTAGACCACTAAAACTTCCAAGGGCTACTTGTACCGTATGTCATCATTGATTGAACAGCAAGTGTGAATATGGGGTAGGAACCCCCACCAGCTAACCTTTGTAAATGGGGGGTTGAGAACAGTGTCTAGAAGGACCAGGAGGCTCTCTTAGTTGCCTGAGGACCCACTTGCAAAGACTGACCACAAACATTATGACAATTACATGGACAGCGGGCTTTTTCTTTACTCTAAACAGTAATCGATGAGCCTTGGCTTGAATTCAGGATGTCTGGCTTTGTGGCCCTGATGTTTTATGACCAAGCAAGTGAAATTCCAAATTTAGTCTTGTTTTGAAGCCTCTGTGGCTCCCTATGTCTGTGGTGTGACATCATTTCTGCTCCTTAATGCTTTAATTAGTCAGCTCACCTTTGAGCAGAGGGGTTGAGAAGCAATGGTGTCTACAGAGCAGCCTCATGGAATAGAATCTACTAATCCAAGTTGTGTTGCCTCAAAGTGTTAGAAGCAGAGGTGTGGTAGTGTGGCTTCTTCCTGCCTACCTTTGGTTTTCATGTAATTCCATCCCACTCCACCCCATGGCATTCCTGGGTAATGAGTGCGTGTACCACTCTATTCTATTCCAATGTGTTGGCCATATACCTGGAAACTAACGCCATCAAGGATTCTGTGGCAAATGAGAGAATGTACATACGGATTCTACCTTCAGAGAAGATACAAATTAGTTAGGAAGATAAGCAGCAGAGAGTAATAAAGACAATTTCATTTCTGGGAGGGAAGATGTCCAAACTAGCACTTTCAATAGTAAGAGCTACAGCAGTTTGACTGTGTGGGTGATGTAGTCGGAACATCTTTGTCCTGTCGGTCTCATTTGATTTAGCTGAAATATGTCAGAGAGAGAGAAAAAAGAGATCGACTAAGAGACAGACAGTTGTGGCTGGGTGTGGGGAGGTGGGAGGGGGATGCAGTTCCTACTTTCCTAATGCAGGAGGCAAGGATAGTTCCAAAGAGAAGAAGAGACATCGTGGCATCTAAGCCTGCCTGGGGCTGGAGACAGGCTAAGTGCATCTTAGCTGAGCTGAGAAAGTTAGAAGGTCTCTCTGTTAGAGAGGAAGTATAAACACACGTACATAAAGGCTTCAATTATGACTCAATGCCCTAGAAATCTCAGGAACAGGCCCCTGGCATGAGTGGGATTATAATCCATTTCTCATTCTGTAAGCAGATTTCCTGTTTTCTATTTAACCCAGTGAACCATGCCTGGTAATCTCCTGGGAGGTACATGGTTTGAGGAAATCATGTGCAGTCTAAGAGTGGCCTGGCAAAGACTGGGCTTACCCCTGGCACAAGGAGGCATTCCTGATGGGCTCTGAGTGAGGTTTCTGGAAGGCCCATCGGTTCTAGGCCACGGTTGGTGTGCCATCCTGTGCCCCTCCCAGGGCCAGGCTTGGCTGAGAGGAAGGGCAGCCAGACATGTCTTTTTCTTTCATGCATTTATATTTCAGACTTGTACATCAAACATACTTGGGATTCAGTTCAATTCTGAACATAGTCATTAAGCACCTACTATGTACCAGGTTTTGGGGGCATGGTGGGATGGTGAAGTCTCTGGGTAGCACAAACAGTTAAGCACTGGGCTACTAACCAAAAGACTGGTGGTTTGAACTCACCCAGAGGCACCTCACAAGAAAGATCTGGCAATCTGCTTCCAAAAAATCACAGCCATAAAAACTTTGTGGAGCACAGTTCTACTCTGAAACACATAGGGTCGCCATGAGTGTGACTGTATGGCAACTTGTTTTTTTTTTTCATTTTTTGGTTGGGGGTGACAAATATTGCACTAATGCAGGCATAGTCTCTGACTTTCAAAGGGTTACATTCAAAGGAGCGTTGTTTGGTCTCTAAATATTTAGAATACAATGGAGAGTATGTGAGAGAAATTCCTCTGGCCAAACGTAGGAAGAGGAAATGCATTTTTTTAAATCAGGGTTTGAAGGCTGGGTAAATTTCAATGAGCAGCAGCAGGAAGAAAGGGCCCCCAAGGAGGAAACAACAAGCAGAAACCTTGGGCTGGGGAAGCTCGGGGTGTGGATAAGAAATGCGAAATGTCCAGAAAATCTAGTTGGCTGCAGGGGACAGGAGTTGGAATGCAGTGGAGGACAAAGCAGCAAGTGTAGGCTGGTGGCCAGATATGGGTGGGTAACGATTGCTAGTTTGGGTCTCCTGGAGGCCATGCAGGAGGCAGGTGTGACTTGTGTAAGAGCACTATGACTTATATGAAGTGTTGTGGGCAGTTTTAACTTACGTTCTTAAAGTGAGGGGCAGGAGGATGCAGATATTAATTGAGGGTTGGGAAGAGAGAGGCAGGGGTGCTTGACGGTTAAGACTGGAATTCTTTTCTATTTTAACCAGACATCTTTTCCAGGGGTATCCCCGAGGTCAGCTGTTGTAACCCAAGAAATCATTCTTCCCTGTGGTCTTTACTTACCTCCTCAGAGGGAGGGAGGGTTCTGCCTAACATCTAGACCCAAGCACACTCACCCTCTGTCCCTCCCACCTGGGGTGTCCCCTAACACACAGCCCACCCCAGGAGGAGGAGCCCTGCTGACACAATGGTTAAACACTTGGCTGCTATTGGAAAGGCTGATGGTTAGAACCTACCGAGTGGCTCTGTGGGAGAAAAGACCTAGCAGTCCCTTAAAGATTACAGCCTGGAAAACTCTATGGGACAGTTCTACTCTGTAACACAGGGCTGACAAAATCGACTCGATGGCACCCAGCAACAACACCACCACCCCAGAAGACGTGGGGCAAGCAGGTGTCTCAAGTCCAGGTTGTAAACCAGGGAAGGGGTGGAAAAAGACTGGAGACCGCCTTCTTACCAGGACAGAGGAGGAGTGAGCAGCCAAACCCAGGAGACCTCCCCCGCACTATGTCTGTGCAGCCCCTGCATAGGGGCCCCTGTGGAACTAGCTGGGATACCTGGGTGGGACTTATTGAAAGACTCCTTTAGGTCCAGTCTATACTTGAAACAGGGAGACCTGCCAGGCCTCAAAAGTCTTCTCTCTGAAGTGGAGTACCCTCCACTCAGTGGACCTCTCTTGCCCAGTTAGTTTTTGTCACATCAGATCCCAGGTACTCCTGGGACTTCTTGGAGAGTGTGGCTTTATCTGAACACAGACATCCTGCCTCTCCATCTCGCTCCCAACCCTCACCTATCAGACCAGATTTAAACATTCTTAATGGCTTCCTAAGGAGCTCTGGTGGCTCCTAAGTGCAAGGTTGGCTTTTGGAACCCACTCAGAGGCTCCACAGGAGGAAAGATTTGGTAATCTGCTCCCGAAAGATTACAGCTTAGGAAGCTCTATGGGGCAGTTCTACTCTGTCCCGTGGAGTCACTGTATGTTGGAATCTACTCGATGGCACCTAACAACAGTGGCTTCCTAGCACAAAGGAGACCAAATCCCTTGCCTACCTGTGACCTCAACTCATATCTTTCTCCTCCTTGCTCAGACCTCCTAGCCACCTGGGCCTTCCTTCTGTCCCTCTAACATGCCCAGCTCGGTCTGGTCCAAGCCTTTGCACTGGCTGTTCTCTCTGCCTAGAATCCTCCTCTCCAGTGGTCTCCACATAGCCTGCTTTTTCTTGGCTTTCCCATTTCATTTGAAATGTTACCTTCCTCACATTGGCCTTCCTTGACTTCCCAATGGAAGAAACCACCCTGATTTATTTTCTCTGTTGTTTTTATCCTCATCTGCTAACTTCTTATTTGTGTGTTTGCTTGCTTACTATTTACCTTCCTCCACTTGAAGATAAGTTCCACGAAAGGAACTTGTCCATAGGACGAGTGCTGGAGTCCCAGGAAAGAGCTTGGAGAGTAGTAGGTGCTTGGTAGCTCTTTGCTGGAGACATCTGTGAAGTGTCTCTCTGGATTTACCTCTTTAGATCAGTGAAGGTTGGTCCTGAGCTGGCCTGGGTCCTTCCTGAAGAGACTGACCAGGTGAAAGTAGCTTTGAGAAAAAGTTTCCAGAGTCTTGGCGGGAGGGATTATGTATTTGTGCTGATTTTGGCATCAGACCGCCCATCCAGGAGGTCATGTTTGGGGGCCATCAGGACTAAGACTGGCCTGCCCTTGGCTGAGCATGCTGAGGCAACTCTCACAGAGTCTAGATTCCACTCTGGCCAGGAGCTCAGTTGTCCAGATCCCTGCCTTTCAGGAATTCTATAGCCTCGCCCAATCTGCTTGATCAAATGGGGAGGTTCTTGTGTGACCTGTTTTAGCCGGAATGCAGAACTGCCTAAGACTCTGCTTCAAGTGTCTCAGTCTCCTGTCTGTGTGCCAAGAGAGCCGGGCTTGTTGGAAACAGATGAGGGAGTCTGAACTGGAGCCCATTGTGGGGGAGGTGGGTCATAGCCGCAACTACAAGCATGTGAGGAAACGCTTCTGTGTGGCCTCATGGTGTGTCTTTGGAAAACCAGAGGTGGGTCTGGAGCACCCTGCCGGTCAGTCAGGAAATTCTTCTCCAGTTCTTTTGCAGGTTATGAGACGGTAAGAAGCTCCACTAGCTAGATGAGGTTTAGAACACATATTATGGCACTCACCAAAAGATACTGTTACAACTTATAATTGAAGTCTTCTATTGGAATACTGTAGAGGATAAGCAACCAACTACAGAGGCCATGAAGAAAAACTTCAAACTGCATTTCTCAAAGTGTTCCTGCAGGACAGCAATTGTTCTGTGGTAAAAGATGGTTTAAGAAAATCAAGCAAGTGTCTTTACAGTAGGGCTCTTTAGAGCTTTTAATATGCTCATTGTGACTCATAAAGGTGATATATTATGTGGTATTTTCCAATCCTTTGGACCTGGAATCCTTTTTTAGCTAAAAATTTCTTGGCACACACCTTAGGAAATGCTGTGTTAGAGAATGGATGAAGGTGAAAGACAAAATCAAGTGAACTTCACAAGCATTTGGAGATTTCTGTGTGCTCAGCATGGTGTGACTTACTGAGACAAACACAAAGTAATACAGAGCAGGTAGCTAATCATTGTGTTAAGATAAGAAGACTGTCACATGTAAAACAGCTAGAAAATAAGCCACCACTCATCTGCCAGTGTGTCATACAGTAGTGGCTTGCATGTTACTATGATGCTGGAAGCTATGCCACTGGCATTTTAAATATCAGTAGGGTCACCGTGGTGGACAGGTTTCCATGGAGCTTCCAGATTAAGACAGACTAGGAAGAAAGGCCTGGTGATCTACTTCTGAAAATTAACCAATGAAAACGTTATGGATCACAGCAAAATATTACCTGATACAGTGCTGGAAGATGAGCCTCTAGGTTGGAAGGCACTACACAATAGCCACAACAATAGACTGAAACATACCAATGATCATGAAGATGGCACAGGACCAGGTAACATTTTGTTTTGTTATACATAAAGTTGCCATGAGTCAGAGTCGCCTCGACAGCTACTAACAACAAAAACAATAAGAAATAATAAGAGAAAAATACATAATCAAGAGTTAGAATGTGTGGTATAAGCCTTAAGAACTCTAGGAATTCCAAGAGAGAAGAGCCCTCCCATTCCTCCCCTCCCCTACTTGTGCTAGCACAGTCACAGATGTCCTCCTGGAAAGGGTGGGTGGATGTAGTAGACATGGAGATTGGAGTGATGATGGAGCACCGTAGTGAACAGCATCACCTCCTGTTGTATTGGTTATGCTTATTAGTCACTTGTATGGCTTCTGCTCTCCAACCATTTTAGCCTACCTTGCTGGCCTTTGGGATCTCTGAAATGTGGCCAGTGGGAAGGAAATGCATATTCTCTGAACAGTGGAATCCACTGTGAGCCAGCACCCAGTCCTTGCCTAGGAGTTATCAGTAAATGATGCAAGAACGTGAAGCCCTCACCCCTGTAGATATTCAGCCTTGAGCAGGAAGCTGCAGGGAAGACCTGCCAATGAGGCCAGATGTACACTGTTAAATTCTCTTTGTCTCCACAACTGCACTGATTTGACACTGGTCCTCTTGATGAGTTTAGGTGCTCTTCCCATGCCTGTAACTCACTCTTCAGGTTTGTAGTGCTGAATGGTCCAGTGATGTCTCCTGAGCATTGGTGTACTTGCCAATAAGTTATTTATCTAGGCTGCACAGGAAACAGGTCCAGGCAAGTGAATTTTAAGATTCCCTATGGCCGCCTTTGACTTTGATGTTTATTGGTCGCCATTTTGCTTGCAGTATAATAGAGCGAGGAAGATGTTTTGTCCTTGCCCCAACTTCCAGATGCGGGGCACATCTGTTTCTCCAGCTGTGATTTGGCTCATTGAAACTTAAGTTTGGGGTGTGAGGATATTTGGTTGGATGACCAGATGTATCCTTCTACCTTTGGTCAAACTGCTGAGCAAAGCATGTGGCTTCTCTTTGTATCAGCTTTGCAGTTAACATTTCCTCTCTCCTTTCTCAACACTGGTGCTGTCCCCAGGAGCGTGCCCAGGTTTGGTTTTCAGTGTGAGCAAGTGTCCTGTGTCCCCTCTCTTTCCCTTACATTGTGTTCTTGGTCTAGACTCCCTGTGATTGTGTGTGATGTGGCAATTCATGTCCATAGTGCCCAATCCTAAACCCTGACTTCAATGTACTTGTAATTTCTGGTTATAACCTGTAGGCCAAGGTCACCCTTCCTCCTGTTTTCTAACCACTCTTGGACTCTTTGGATTTTAGGAGCACTCCCGGCCTGAGTATGAAACCAAGGTTCGAGAGAAAATGCTAAAGGAGAGTGACAAGTCAGTTGTCCAGAAGTTGGAAACAGAGAGGACTGAGAGCAATGATGAGGTAAGACACTGATGCTTGTTGCTCTTTGTCCTCTTTATTTCTGAAGACTCTGTTCTCATTGTATCTGGAACACCATAGTGAATGGAGGACTGGGCTGCCAGAAGGGGTTGATGTGGGGCAGGATAGAATGAGAGCATGACATCTCCCATTTCCCTGCCCTCAGAACTCTTGAGTGACAGGCTTTAGCTATGACTTGATCAGCACCTCTTTTCTGGATGGTACTGTCTGGATGAAATAGGAGAGCAGATCCGAGAAGAAAGAGACAGTTCAGGCCTGGTTCCTCCAGACTCCATCACCTAAATTCCTAACAACAACAACAACCATATCAACCACCATAATAACAGCAGCTAACGCTTATCAAAGGCTTGTTCTATGCTAGGCACTGTGCAAAGTGCATTATATTATCTCATTCAGTCTTCACAGTAAATTGATGAGGCTGGCACTATTGTTGTTTATATTGTAACCGTGAAAAAATTTGTCCAGAGATTAAGCCATTTGCCAGAAGTCACACAGTTAAATAATGGGTGGATCCGGAATTCCAGCCCAGGTCTGTTTATTACAGAGTCTGTGCTCCTAACCACTATCCAATACTGCCTTTTAAGTGCGATGAGGAAGTCAAAGGAGAAAGCAAGAAATGAACCTAAGGGGGTGGCAGAGGCAAATCCATGCCTATATTTGCTTGAGCTACTCATATAATATTCCTTACACTTCAGTTTATCTAAGTGGGCCTCTGAAAGTAGGAAAGTGACAGTGAACATGTCTTCCGAGTTATATTTCTGAGTTTTATGGTGCCATTCAGATATTGAAAGAGAGCTTCAGAATCCATGCTGTGAACTGTAAATACTGTGTGTGTATGTGGGGGTAGGGGGTGGTGGTGGTGGGGTGAAGGATTCCTCTTTGACTATCCCTGTCTCTGAGCACCACCCTTTGAAACCAAAAGTGTGTGTGTGTGTGTGTGTGTGTGTGTGTGTGTGTTTATGTCTTTCCTAATCTGGTTCTGGTGGTGTAGTGGTTAAGAGCTATGGCTGCTAACCAAAATGTCGGCAGTTCGAATCTACCAGGCTCTCCTTGGAAACCCTATGGGGCAGTTTTACTCTGTCCTATAGGGTCGCTATGAGTCAGAATAGACTTGATGGCAATGGGTTTGGTTTTGGTTTTAATCTGGTTCTAGAAAAAAATCAATAAGATTGAAAATCTGTTGTTTTTACATGAATCTTTTCTCAATCTTGGATCTGAATTCAAATTTCATTTCATTTTATGTTAAGTTGGAACCATTCATGTTAACATGCAAATTTATGCTAGCACCAAAGCAGAAGAATGTGGTGTTTTTGAGCTCAAAATACTGGCATTTTATTTTGAACAGGACTTAAACAGAAGAGAGAGAGGGTGGTCTTCAGAGTTATTTTTTTCCTAGCCAGAGCAAGTCCAAGACCACCAATTATTCAGGGAAATAATGAATTCACTCTTAGGAAAGACTAATCATCACCACCACCCTCATCAGAAAGCAAGCATTCTATGTACTGTCAGCTTCAGCAACTCCATACAACCTTCTTTCTCCACCCGAGCAATATACAATGGATAATTTTATGGAAATCACATGGAACTTTTATTGACCACTGACTCATTTAATTTTAATTCCATAGACGGGAATGCCAAGGAGTTGGAATTGCGTACATTGAGGCTGTGGTTCTAATATAAAGATTGCTTGGCTATATATGCATGGTAGGTCAAATAACTTTCAGGAACCATGAATAATTAAAAAAAATCTGACTGCATTATGAATGATATATATGTTTATGTGTTAACATTCAACATCTATTTTCATTACACTGTTGAGAATGCAAAGCTCAAAGCATTTAATGCCGTATGAGCACTGGGGGGAAATGACCTTGCCAAATGTGTACAGTAAGATCAAACTGGCCTGAAATTTGATTGTCAGAATCCTACATGCTTCTTTCTTGCTGCAGATTTAGCCATAGGTCAGAGATAAAGGATGGAGCATGTGTTACTGTCTGATAGGAGGGATGCTGCTTTTGCCTGTGGGAAGAGTTGTGCCCAATGCCCACCGCACTGCATGGCTCTGGGGGCTCCATTCACTGTAGTACTGCCTGTGGCACCATTATGGGTGTGGTATTTAGGGAAGGCACCTTCTTCTGGGGGATAGACAGAGACTAAGTCTAGCTGGTGGTCTTGGATGTGCTTCTTTCATCTCAGAGGATCACTTTGGCTCTGCCTTCACTGTTACCCTAAGGCTGCAATATCCCCACCTCTTCTTACTCTCCTTCCTATTGAATGATAAAAAGCTGCCATTTACTGAGGCCCAGAGTGGTATAGTAACTTGCCCAAGACCACATAGCTAGTTTTGGTGGAGCTGGTAATCAAACCCAACCCTGCCTAATCCTCAAGGCACATTACATTTTTTTTTTTAATTTCAAAGATATTGAGTCTATTTTTTAAAAACATTTTTATTGAGATATAACTCTCATGCTATAAAATTCACCCATTTAAAGTGTACAATTCAATGATTTTTAGTATACGCATAGACTTGTGCAATAACTTCCACAAACTAAGTTTAAAACATTTTTTTTATCCCAAAAAGAAACCCCATACCCATTAAGCAGTCACTCCCCATTTCCTAACTCCACCCTAGAGCCCTGGGCAAACACTAATCTACTTTCTGTCTCTATAGATTTGCTTATTCTGGACATTTCATGTCTATGGAATCATATACTATGTGGTCTTTTATGACTAGATTCTTTCACTTAAATTTTCACTTTGTTGATGACATCATTTGAAGTACAGAAGTTTTAAATTTTGCTGTAGTTCACTTTATCTGTCTTTCCTTTTGTCCATGTGCTTTTGACGTCATAGCTAAGAAATCATTGCCTAATCCAATGTTATGAAAAATATACTCCTATGTTTTCTTCTAAGAATTTTATTGTTTTAGTTCTTACATTTAGGCCTATGATCCATTTGGGGTTAATTTTTCTGTGTAGTATAAAGAAAGGGTCAAATTTCATTGTCTTACATGTGGATATCCAGTTATCCTAC